GTATGAGTCTTGTGCTTGAAGTGCTTCAGGATCTCAGTGGTAGAAGATCCAACTCACAACTGCAAGGATCCGAATTAATCTCCTGGCGATGCAAGACGTGTAGGGCAATTCTCTTTACATCTGCTGCCCCCTTTTCACCTAGTAGTAAATATATCCCTAGAAGCTAGTTGGCTGTTGTGGGTCGCATCCTCGACGAGAGAACTTGAGGACCCCGAGGCTTTTTATTGTGTTCTCTTACGTTATTAACATTCCGAGGTTAACTCCCACAAAGACACACCAAGTGCTGGTGTGGCGAGCTGGTCCTACAACTCGCCGGTATATGATCCACTGGATCATGCTGGCCTTTTAAGAGTCACTCATCTAGGTATATTTCTGTCCACCCTAGGTATCTTTATTCCGAAACGTTTCGCCTGCACAGAAGACTTTTTCAGTCAAGTGCATAGGAGGCAGCACATACGATAGAGATGTCATCAGTCCATCACCCTTCAAGTCGTAGTTTTAAAGTGTTCAGTCCCTCAGCTGGGGAAGAGTTTTGCTGCATAGTCTGGAACATTGTTCAGTGTGCAGATTTTGAACTAATCCCTCCAATATTTTCCAAGTGTAGATTATGATGAATCTTTCTCGCCTACGTTCTAAGGAGTACAGCTCGAGGGACTTCAAGCACTTTCACTAAAAAAAAAACCATACCACGGGCGGGAATAGAACCCGCGATCAGAGAGCCTCAAAACTCCAGACCGTCGCGTTAGCCACTGGACCAGCTAGCTACAATAAGATTCGTCTGTAAAAACTTGCATTTGTGGTCACAGTGGTGCCTATGCTAACCTTCCTATGGTGTAGAAATATACCTAGTTGGGCGAATCTTATTGTGGCTAGCTGGTCCAGTGGCTAACGAGACGGTCTGGAGTTTTGAGACTCTGATCGCGGGTTCTATCCCCACCCGTGGTATGGTTTGTTTGCAATCGTGTCATTACGGTTTCGTGAGTTACTTTCAATAGTTTAGGTGCTTGACTGCGTGTATACGATCTGATAATATTCTCTCTATATTTTCCAGTTTAGCAATTTCGCCCCCCCCCCCCCTGAAGGTGTCCGCTAGTGCACAGCAACACTACAGCCTAGAGAGGAGTAGCGAACTGAAAATTATTATTGGCTTGGCATCTCTTGTTTTGAAAGTTCTCGTTATCCAACCTATCATTTTCCCTGCAGTTACCATAATAACACTGTTGTGCTCCTTGAACCTGAGATCTTTTGATATTATCACTCCCAGGTCTCTAACATTTGACTTACATTCTATTGAGTGATTTGAGTTTGTCTTGTACTCCGATCCTGTTGGCATTTCCTCCATCCTTCCTTAACGTAGTAAGTGACTTGCTGGTCATTGCCTGAGTTAGGTTAGGTAAGGTTTAGCAGGAAACAGGGCAAGTGTTCCTTGACGCGGGTCTAAGTTATACGATGACCCGCAGCTGAAGCTTTTGGTCATCTGACCGAGGCCTTCCGCTGGCTTACCACTTTAAACATTTATGCCTGAGTGAAAGGTGATGTGCGAGCATTTGATCTCTCTTAAAAGCAGGCAGCACTAACAAGGTAACAAGAATAAGACATATTATGCAAGATACTGCACAACGTTTCGCCACTAAGGGTGATACGTTGTACGTTAAAGATTCTCCCCGCATATTGCATTTTGTTCTTTCCACGTGTCGGCTTTAAGACGGACACATGTGGAGATGGACACATGTGGAGATGGACACATGTGGAGATGGACACATGTGGAGATGGACACATGTGGAGATGGACACATGTGGAGATGGACACACGTGGAGCAATAATGACACATATTAAGGAGAAAGTTCCTTCACCAGGGACTTTACCAGTCCAATTACTGCTTAATAAATGCCCTAATTACCGCATGTGTTTTATCTGTCGTCTGTGTTAATCACCACCTGTAACTTCAGTCTCTCACCTCCATGAACATGAACAGCTGGAGATGCAACACTCACCTGGGGATGCAACACTCACCTGAGGATGAAACACTCACCTGGGGATGCAACACTCACCTGGGGATGCAACACTCACCTGGGAATGTAAAGGATTCTCTCAGCAACCACGAAGCCAACAGGAAACAAGAGGTTGGTTGCTGGTAGGAAGGGCAGCACCAGCAGCGACCAGCCCAGCAGCAGCGCCTGACCTTCCCTACCCTGTGGGAGACCAACAATACAATTGTTGTTGTTGTAGGTTCGCCGGTCTTGTCCCAGCCAGGGTCTTCTCCGGACAGTGACCCGGCAGCCAACAATACAAGCAAGTAGAGCTAGTTCCCCTGGGAGGGACCGTGTCTACATGTGTCCCCAGTCGTAAGGGGATGGTGCATACATGACGTGGGACAAGGTCTGTAACCAGGAGATATAGTGGAAGAAAAAGTTGCAGAAAAACTTAGTCTAACTCCTATAGAACTTGTAAATTAAAAAAATATATATAATAATATGGAGGATAAGGAAGAAGGGACAGAGAGAGGAGAGGTGAAAGAGGAGGCTGATGAGGAGGTAGGGGAAGAGAGAGACACGGGTAATTGGACTCATACTATGATAGTATCTAAGAAAACATTATCTTGGACAAAAGATAGCAAGTCGTAAACCAAATATTTTCATGAGTAATGAGAAGCAGAGGAGAGACGTAACAGTGAGGAGAGAGAGAATGATTAACATACAGGACCTGTTAAACGATGGAAGAGAAACAGAGTTCGCAAATAGCTGGGTAATAACAAGGGTTTCTTGATTAATGAGGATTTACGGATGCGCTTCCATCCCAAATTTTAATGGAGTTTTCTAGGGATGAATTAAAGATGGAAGGAAAATTAAACCCGTGTTTTTTTTCAAGAGTAAAATTAATAATAATAATAATAATTTCAGATAATATCACCTTCAGCAGGCATCCAGCTCTCAGGATGAGCAGGATGGCGGCATAAAAGGCGATCGAAGCCACCAGCCTGAGGTCGGTGAAGGAGGTGACCAGAGGGATGGAACCCATCTGCCAGTCGTGAGCCAGCCTCCAGGGACACACCAACAACCAAGCGTTGAATGCTGGCAGGTACAGGAACGTCAGCAGTCTGCACCACACCAAGGAACACCCTTATTAGATCAGTTACCGAATACATAAAAATCACGGAAGATTAAAAGTTGCAAATAAATATCAGAAACAGTAAGAACACCAGTTTATAATTACCTCCTGTGGGTCAGTTAGCGACAGATTGGTTGTCATTCTTTCTGGAAAAGACGTTGAATTCGTCACGGCAAAACACGACTGAAACTAAACTGAACAGTCTCTACCAATAAACTTTAAGATGGTACTAAGTCCTGCAGTCACAGAGGCTTCTGTTGTTTTCTGTTAGTGATAAAAACACTCAAGGAAACAGAAGAACGCTTAACTGTAAGTAAACAATGGTTCGTTCATATTGTGTAAAGCCTAGCATCTGAGGGAAAGATGCTGAGTTATCTTACGTGGTTAAGAAAGGTGGAGAGAAAGATGCTGAGTTATCTTACCTGGTTAAGAAAGGTGGAGAGAAAGATGCTGAGTTATCTTACCTGGTTAAGAAAGGTGGAGAGAAAGATGCTGAGTTATCTTACCTGGTTAAGAAAGGTGGAGAGAAAGATGCTGAGTTATCTTGCCTGGTTAAGAAGGATGGAGAGAAAGATGCTGAGTTATCTTGCCTGGTTAAGAAGGATGGAGAGAAAGATGCTGAGTTATCTTACGTGGTTAAGAAAGGTGGAGAGAAAGATGCTGAGTTATCTTCCCTGGTTAAGAAGGATGGAGAGAAAGATGCTGAGTTATCTTGCCTGGTTAAGAAGGATGGAGAGAAAGATGCTGAGTTATCTTACCTGGTTAAGAAAGGTGGAGAGAAAGATGCTGGTTATCTTACCTGGTTAAGAAAGGTGGAGAGAAAGATACTGAGTTATCTTACCTGGTTAAGAAAGGTGGAGAGAAAGATGCTGAGTTATCTTACCTGGTTAAGAAAGGTAGAGAGAAAGATGCTGAGTTATCTTGCCTGGTTAAGAAGGATGGAGAGAAAGATGCTGAGTTATCTTGCCTGGTTAAGAAGATGGAGAGAAAGATGCTGAGTTATCTTACCTGGTTAAGAAAGGTGGAGAGAAAGATGCTGGTTATCTTACCTGGTTAAGAAGGGTTTGGAGAGAAAGATGCTGAGTTATCTTACCTGGTTAAGAAAGGTGAGAGAAAGATGCTGAGTTATCTTACCTGGTTAAGAAAGGTAGAGGAGAAGTGCTGAGTTATCTGACGTTAAGAGTTGGACAAAAGGAAAGATTAGTTATCATTACCTGGTTAAAGAAAAGGGAGAGGAAAAGATGCTCGGTTTATCTTACCGTTAGAAGGTGTAGGAAAGATCTGAGTTATCTTACTGTTTAGAAAGGTGGAGGAGAAAGATGCTGAGTTATCTTACCTGGTTAGAAAGGTTGGAGAAAGATGTCTGATGTTATTTACCTGGTTTTAAGAAAGGTGGAGAGAAAGAGCTGAGTTATGTTCTTATACTGTGTAAAGAAGGTGGAGAGAAAGATGCTGAGTTATGTTACTGGTTAAGAAAGGTGGAGAGAAAGATACTGAGTTATCTTACCTGGTTAAGAAAGGTGGAGAGAAAGATGCTGAGTTATCTTACCTGGTTAAGAAAGGTGGAGAGAAAGATGCTGAGTTATCTTACCTGGTTAAGAAGGATGGAGAGAAAGATGCTGAGTTATCTTACCTGGTTAAGAAAGGTGGAGAGAAAGATGCTGAGTTATCTTACCTGGTTAGAGAAGGTGGAGAGAAAGATGCTGAGTTATCTTACCTGGTTAAGAAAGGTGGAGAGAAAGATGCTGAGTTATCTTACCTGGTTAAGAAGGATGGAGAGAAAGATGCTGAGTTATCTTACCTGGTTAAGAAGGATGGAGGGAAAGATGCTGGTTATCTTACCTGGTTAAGAAGGATGGAGGGAAAAGTGCTGAGTTATCTTACCTGGTTAAGAAAGATGGAGAGAAAGATGCTGAGTTATCTTACCTGGTTAAGAAGGATGGAGAGAAAGATGCTGAGTTATATTACCTGGTTAAGAAAGGTGGAGAGAAAGATGCTGAGTTATCTTACCTGGTTAAGAAGGATGGAGAGAAAGATGCTGAGTTATCTTGCCTGGTTAAGAAGGATGGAGAGAAAGATGCTGAGTTATCTTACCTGGTTAAGAAGGATGGAGAGAAAATGCTGAGTTATCTTACCTGGTTAAGAAGGTGGAGAGAAAGATGCTGAGTTATCTTGCCTGGTTAAGAAGGATGGAGAGAAAGATGCTGAGTTATCTTACCTGGTTAAGAAGGATGGAGAGAAAGTTGCTGAGTTATCTTACCTGGTTAAGAAGGATGGAGAGAAAGATGCTGAGTTATCTTACCTGGTTAAGAAGGATGGAGAGAAAGATGCTGGTTATCTTACCTGGTTAAGAAAGGATGGAGGTAAAGTGCTGAGTTATCTTACCTGGTTAAGAAAGTGGAGAGAAAGATGCTGAGTTATCTTACCTGGTTAAGAAGGTGGAGAGAAAGATGCTGAGTTATCTTACCTGGTTAAGAAGGATGGAGAGAAAGATGCTGGTTATCTTACCTGGTTAAGAAGGATGGAGAGAAAGATGCTGAGTTATCTTACCTGGTTAAGAAGGATGGAGAGATAAATCTGAGTTATCTTACCTGTTTAAGAAGGATGGAGAGAAAGATGCAGAGTTATCTTACCTGGTTAAGAAGGTGGAGAGAAAGATGCTGAGTTATCTTACCTGGTTAAGAAGGATGGAGAGAAAGATCTGGGTTGTCCTGTCGCTGTAAGAAAGGTAGTGAAAGTGCTGAGTTACACCAGAAACGGGCAAGAAAATGCAGTTATCTTACTGTTAAAAGTGGAGAGAAAGATGCGATTATCTTACCTGGTTAAAAGGATGAGAGAAAGATGCTGAGTTATCTTACTGGTTAAGAAGGATGGAGGGAAAGATGCTGGTTATCTTACCTGGTTAAGAAGGATGGAGGGAAAAGTGCTGAGTTATCTTACTGGTTAAGAAAGATGGAGAGAAAGATGCTGAGTTATCTTACCTGGTTAAGAAGGATGGAGAGAAAGATGCTGAGTTATATTACCTGGTTAAGAAAGGTGGAGAGAAAGATGCTGAGTTATCTTACCTGGTTAAGAAGGATGGAGAGAAAGATGCTGAGTTATCTTGCCTGGTTAAGAAGGATGGAGAGAAAGATGCTGAGTTATCTTACCTGGTTAAGAAGGATGGAGAGATAAATGCTGAGTTATCTTACCTGGTTAAGAAGGATGGAGAGAAAGATGCTGAGTTATCTTGCCTGGTTAAGAAGGATGGAGAGAAAGATGCTGAGTTATCTTACCTGGTTAAGAAGGATGGAGAGAAAGTTGCTGAGTTATCTTACCTGGTTAAGAAGGATGGAGAGAAAGATGCTGAGTTATCTTACCTGGTTAAGAAGGATGGAGAGAAAGATGCTGGTTATCTTACCTGGTTAAGAAGGATGGAGGTAAAAGTGCTGAGTTATCTTACCTGGTTAAGAAAGATGGAGAGAAAGATGCTGAGTTATCTTACCTGGTTAAGAAGGATGGAGAGAAAGATGCTGAGTTATCTTACCTGGTTAAGAAGGATGGAGAGAAAGATGCTGGTTATCTTACCTGGTTAAGAAGGATGGAGAGAAAGATGCTGAGTTATCTTACCTGGTTAAGAAGGATGGAGAGATAAATGCTGAGTTATCTTACCTGTTTAAGAAGGATGGAGAGAAAGATGCTGAGTTATCTTACCTGGTTAAGAAGGATGGAGAGAAAGATGCTGAGTTATCTTACCTGGTTAAGAAGGATGGAGAGAAAGATGCTGGGTTGTCCTGGTCGCTGAAGATAGGTGACGCTCCTCTCAGCATCCAGAGACGGAAGACCAAGATAACTGCTCCCTACATGTACAAAAAAATAATATATATTATATATATATATATATATATATATATATATATATATATATATATATATATATATATATATATATATATATATATATATATAAAAACTCCGAAAGATATTTTTGAGAGGGAAGTAGTGGCTAATGTGCATTAGAAGAGCTGGTTCATGAACGTTAAACGCGACGTAAACAACTATAGGCCAATATCAAACTTACCATTGCTATCCAAAATCTTCGAGAAACTCGTGCACAGGAGACTATATTCATTTATAACGACACAAAACATACTCATCCCCTGCTAATTTGGATTCAGGAAAAATAAAAGCACTAATGTTGCAATTATAAAAGTGCTAGACCTGCTTTACACAGCATTGGAGAATAAGGAATATCCGCTAGGAATTTTTATTGACCTACTCCACAAACTTTACCACTATGGTATAAGAGGCCATGCGCTTGCATATTTTAAATCCTACCTTTCTAATAGGTATCAGTATGTCACCATTAAAGACACAGCCTCATCAATACGGCCACTTGATACTGGAGTTCCACAGGGAAGTGTCCTTGGACCCCTGCTCTTCCTCATTTACATCAATGATCTTCCAAACATATCCCAACACCTGAAACCCCATTCTCTTTGCTGACGACACGACTTCTGTCATCTCCCACCCTAACCTTACCACCCTCAACACCATTGTTAATGAGGAGCTGCTCAAAATATCGACTTGGATGACAGCCAATAAACTTACACTTAACACTGGCAAAACCTAATATATTATGTTTGGTAGCAGAGCAGGTGTTGCGCAACTTAACATTAAGATCGACAACACTCTAATTTAAGATCGACAACACTCTAATTGCCAGACATAATGAGGGCAAATTCCTTGGCCTATATCTCGACAACAACCTAAATTTCAGCACCCACTCTTCATAGATCTAAACTTACTCCCTGTTCAGAACATCCACACTTACTACTGTGCAATCTATATCTACAGGACCTTAATAACCTTGACCTAAAACGCTTTCTTGATAGTTGTGACATGATCCACAGGCATAACACCAGACACAAACATCTCTATGACATTCCCCGTGTTCGAATAAACCTTTACAAAAATTCAATGTATTTCAAAGGACCTAAAATTTGGAACACCCTACCTGAAAACTCTAGAACTGCAGACACATTCATCACTTTCAAAACTACAGTTAGAAAACATCTCCCTGATACACCCCGTCAACTAACTACATGATAACCACCTGGTGGTTCACAATTACACTCACTCACTCACTGACTGTAAACCCAGAAATACTAATCTTAATCTTAAAATAATAAATCCTAACTAGTCATAAGTTTGCCTATGATACTCCAATATAGACACCTTGTATTGTGCCAAAAGAAAAGCATTCACATTGCTAAACTCACAAATTATGATGTAGTCACTTAGCCTTAATACCATAATCTGTAAGGATTTAATGTTAAGAATTAATCTCACTCTGCTCGAAATACCTAGCCAGGCTAGGTGTCCTAGTGGCCCCCTCTGTAATTAGTATTTTATAACATGTAAACACACAATACCCAAAACCTGTAAACCCCACATTGTAACCCTTATAGAGAATAAACTTGAATTGAATTGCATTTTAATTTCTACAGGTTTATTTTAACTTACCATCAAACAGAGCCGTGAGAGCCTCCGTACAAGAGGCCTCAAGTGTTTCATTGTTGACTGATGACCAAATAATCTGGAAAGAGTTGAAGCATTATGAATATAATTATGTTGGGAAAAAATCTATATATTGTAGCTATTTTAGCCCTGAATGATCTATACGCGTTTAGGGCTTAATTTTTTAAAATCTAATTGAAGCTTAGTTTATATATCCACGATGTGGGTAAAGCTGACGAGAAAAAGAAGAATTAAGTATATATAACTGATCTCAGCGCCACATTTCGGTCTAAAACTCCGGGTTATGAAAATGAATTTTAATTCCCCACTGAATTCACCGGTATAAGAGAGTACCTTCAACATATAGTATATTATATGATCGGTTGTCATCATATATCCCCCTCCCCCCTTATATAGCGTTTATACATAATGTTCTTCTCATGGATGTCCTGTAGACTGTATACATACTCATGGTGGAATAATAAAGTATACAAGGTTAAACTACGTTACAATGGATCTTGCATCTCCAAGAATTTCGAGTATTGAATTATGAAAGTTTGATAAAGTGATCTTAACTACTCGTTGTTCCCGGAGATAATACTCGTGTTTACCAGTAAGAAAATATTGCAGATCTTTTCTGTGTAGCTGAGTGAATGTGAGCAGATTTATGAATTCCCACATTGTCAGTGTATAGTGCACTCTACATTGTCAGTGTTTAGTGCACTCCACACTGTCAGTGTATAGTGCACTCCACACTGTCATTATATAGTACACTCCACACTGTCAGTGTATAGTGCACTCCACACTGTCAGTGTATAGTGCACTGCACACTGTCAGTGTATAGTGCACTCCACACTGTCAGTGTATAGTGCACTCCACACTGTCAGTGTATAGTACACTCCACACTGTCATTATATAGTACACTCCACACTGTCAGTGTATAGTGCACTCCACACTGTCAGTGTATAGTGCACTGCACACTGTCAGTGTATAGTGCACTCCACACTGTCAGTGTATAGTGCACTCCACACTGTCAGTGTATAGTACACTCCACACTGCCAGTGTATAGTGCACTCCACACTGTCAGTGTATAGTGCACTCCACACTGTCAGTGTATAGTGCACTCCACACTGTCAGTGTATGGTGCACTCCACACTGTCAGTATATAGTGCACCCCACACTGTCAGTGTATAGTGCACTCCACACTGTCAGTGTATAGTGCACTCCACACTGTCAGTGTATAGTACACTCCACACTGCCAGTGTATAGTGTACTCCACACTGTCAGTGTATAGTACACTCCACACTGCCAGTGTATAGTGCACTCCACACTGTCAGTGTATAGTACACTCCACACTGCCAGTGTATAGTGCACTCCACACTGTCATTATATAGTGCACTCCACACTGCCAGTGTATAGTGCACTCCACATTGTCAGTGTATAGTGCACTCACACTGTCAGTGTATAGTGCACTCCACACTGTCAGTGTATAGTGCACTCCACACTGTCAGTGTATAGTGCACTCCACACTGCCAGTGTATAGTGCACTCCACACTGTCAGTGTATAGTGCACTCCACACTGTCAGTGTATAGTGCACTCCACATGTCAGTGTATAGTGCACTCCACACTGCCAGTGTATAGTGCACTCCACACTGTCATTATATAGTGCACTCCACACTGTCAGTGTATAGTGCACTCCACACTGTCAGTGTATAGTGCACTGCACACTGTCAGTGTATAGTGCACTCCACACTGTCAGTGTATAGTGCACTCCATACTGTCAGTGTATAGTGCATCCACACTGCCAGTGTTATAGTGCACTCCACACTTTCAGTGTATAGTGCACTCCACACTGTCAGTGTATAGTGCACTCCACACTGTCAGTGTATAGTGCACTCCACACTGTCAGTGTATAGTGCACTCCACACTGTCAGTGTATAGTGCACTCCACGCTGTCAGTGTATAGTGCACTCCACACTGTCAGTGTATAGTGCACTCCACACTGTCAGTGTATAGTGCACTCCACGCTGTCAGTGTATAGTGCACTCCACGCTGTCAGTGTATAGTGCACTCCACACTGTCAGTGTATAGTGCACTCCACACTGTCAGTGTATAGTGCACTCCACGCTGTCAGTGTATAGTGCACTCCACACTGTCAGTGTATAGTGCACTCCACACTGTCAGTGTATGGTTCACTTATTCTCTTTTACTTAGTTGGCTAAAAAGACAGTTATTATTATTACGTGAAGAAAGGAACGAGAAAGATATAAAGACGAAGGGTGACAGACGTGAGCCTTAAGTTTCGAGGATCACCTCCGTCACCTACCTCCTGACGTGTTTCCTGTGAAGGATGACATCCCAGGCGGCGCAGGCTAGCAGGGCGGTGAGAGCCGGCTCCTTGCACAGTGTGCCCACTCCAGTCACCATCCCCGCTCTCTGCACCCACACCCACTCTTTATTCCCTTCTCCTCCTTCCCGTTCTCCTTCTCCTCCATCTCCTATTCCTTCCCTCACAATGCCCGGTATCTCTCTTCTGGTGTTCTCCCAGCCTGAGCCGAGGCTTCTTCCTTCCCCTCCTCCTCCTTCACCTGCTGATTCTCCTTCGTCGTCGATTCCATCTTCATAGTTCGGGTTCACTCTGTCGGTCTCAATTGCACTGGTGATAAGTACACATCAGATCAGAGAGTACACAAAATGGTTACATATTCCAGAAAAACTGTGCAAAATAGGAATTAACCAAATCATATCTCTCAGAAAAAAACTATTTCGTAGAAGCATTTATGCCACAAAATAATTGAAAAAACAAAGTTAAGTTATTTACTAAACAGCTTTCGATTTGAAACTGAAACCTTCTTTAGTAAGCTAAAACTGTACAAGAGACGTAGTTTGTGAAGGTAGTTCTCGCGATCTAAGTCAGGTTGTGTCATCTAACAAATGGCTCAGCAGGAAACTGCCGTCAGGTTAAGGGTAGTTTAGAGAGGGAAGTTGGGGAAGGGGTGTTGCTGGGAGGAGTGGGGGGGGGGGGGGTTATGGATGCAGTGAGAGCCAAATAGGCGACTTAACGAGTCATCATGCCCGTTGTCGTGAAGGTGTAATGGCTGCAGGTGGCTGGGTTAATGTGATGTTATGGTTGTTGACAACCAGAGCCAGGATGTTAAATTGGCAGTCAGGGAAGAGACATGTTTGTGAACTGTACTTATAGTTGATACTGTCCCACACTCATGTTACTGTCCAACAGTCATGTTACTGTCCAATAGTAATTTAATACAGAAACCTAATGAGTACCTCACGGTACCTGGATATTGTGATTCTATATGATAGATACAAAGTGGGAAAGTAAGGTAGGTATGTTTCCCTGTCATATTCCATCACACAGGATGGGTCACACAATGTGTCAGCCTGAGCTGGAAGACTTCAGTAGTGCCAGCCTGACCTGGAAGACTTGAGCAGTGTCAGCCTGAGCTGGAAGACTTCAGTAGTGCCAGTCTGAGCTGGAAGACTTCAGTAGTGTTAGCCTGAGCTGAAAGACTTCACTAGTGTCAATCTGAGCTGGAAGACTTCAGTAGTGTTAGCCTGAGCTGAAAGACTTCAGAAGTGCCAGTCTGAGCTGGGAGAATTCAGTAGTGCCAGTCTGAGCTGGTAGAATTCAGTAGTGCCAATCTGAGCTGGGAAACTTCAGCAGCAGTGTCAGTCTTAGCTGAAAGACTTCAGTAGTGTCAGCTTGTGCTGGGAGACTTCAGTAGGGTGGTGATGGGAAGAACTGGTTATAAAAACTCTTCCTGAACAGTGGAGTTCACCTAAGGTTACAGGGGGAATTTATCTGTGGTAACGGAGGAATTTACCTGTGGTAAGAGAAGATGGAGGCGAGGAATGCCAGGGCAGCCAGCAGGTCTGCTCGTCCCACCAGCCCCGTCACCTGCAACAACAAAAACGACACATTGTGTAGATGCAACTACATCATAACTGCAACAGTTCGCAGTAACACTGTGGCTGCAACATTCCGCAAGTAACAGCACCGTGGCTGCAACATTACACAGGTAGCAACACCTTATTACGAGTACTACTAACCAGCAATCTGAAAATAAAATAAAAAAAATACTAGATAATGTCTGGGTCCCTTCTGGAACCTGGTGACAGTCTGCCAAAGACCGAAACATCTAATCCTGTGGAAAAATACACCCATGCACAGTTCAGAACATTAATTGGAGGAAACGTTTCGCCACGAGTGGCTTCTGCAAGACAGAAGAAACTACTCGTGGCGATACGCCTCGTATAATAAATGCCCTGAGATGTATAAATTTCTTTTACCACGTCCTGTCGGTATCACCATAAGATTTTTTCATTTAATTAATGTTTTCGATTCACGGGTTGTGAAGCATGAGTGTATTCACGAGGGCCTCTGCTCAGGCACTCTTGCTTGCTTGTACAGTATCATCCTCAACCTTCCTACACAAGTGGGTCACATTTGATGGTCAAATGTGACCCACTTGTGACGGCCGCACGGTTGTGTTGACACTGCACAGTGTGGAACCTGCGTTAAAGTGAATAAATAATTACATGTGAGGGCCGCATACATTTCCTAGAAGGGACACCATTTTGGGACGCCTGGACTGTATTTACGGTGGTTTTTGTGTAATAAATCTTCACCAGGTGCCAGATCAACCAGGCTGTGATGGATATGTGGGGCTGCGGACCGCCAGCAGCAACAGCCTGGCTGACCAGGTTAGCACCAGACGAGCCTGGCCCACGGCCGGGCTCCGGGAGTAGAGAAAAACTCTCAGCACTCATCAAAGGTATATCAAAGGTGAAGGCATGCAGTAGAACTGTAATTAATTAGAACCTCACGCAATAACTATCATCATTGTTGTTATTGCAATCAAAGCTAGGTGCTAAACCCACAAGGACTTTTGTACTGTTGAAATCTGGAGGAAAATGACTACGTTTCTCTAGTTATTATTTCAAAACGTTTTGTGAGACTATTTTTAATATAATCATAACTAAAGGCTTTATGCCTTTATTATTATTATTATTATTATTATTATTATTATTATTATTATTATTATTATTATTATTATTACCATTATTATTATTATAATTATTATTATATATTATTATTATTATTATTATTATTATTATTATTATTATTATTATTATTATTTATTATTACCATTATTATTATTATTATTATTATTATTATTATTATTATTATTATTGTTATTACCATTACTATCATTATTATTATTATTATAATTATTATTATTACTATTATTATTATTATTATTATTATTTATTATTATTATTATTATTATTATTATTATTGTTGTTGTTGTTTTATTACCATTACTATCATCATCATTATTATTATTATTATTATTATTATTATTATTTAATTATTATTATTACCATTATTTTATTACCATTATTATTATTATTATTATTATTATTATTATTATTATTGTTATTACCATTACTATTATTATTATTATTATTATTATTATTATTATTATAACTAAGCGGTGTGCGAGATCACAAGAATATTTTTATATATACCAGGAAATACGAAGCGGAATATTTATTAACATTGAAGTTATTCAAAAAAAAAAACCTAACTTTTGGTATTGTTGCGAAGTAAATGTTGAGCCTTTTATTATAGAATTTCAGGCCATTTAAATTTCTACCTTTTATATTTAAGGTCATTTAAAGCTCGGCCTTTTATTGTTGAATTTAAGAAAATTTGACGTTCTGCTTTTTTTGTTTATCTTTGTCTCTGTTATTATGAACTTTGAGGAACTGGTGATAGTGTGTAAGTGATGGAGTCTGGTGAGCTGTGGTGAAGCTGTGGTGAAGCTGTGGTGAAGCTGTGGTGAAGCTGTGGTGAAGCTGTGGTGAAGCTGTGGTGAAGCTCACTGGGAGGTCAGGAGGATACAGAGACGAGCTGGAGAGAGAGAGACTGTCGAGACAAAGCGTAGAGCTTTGTCTCGACAGTCTCGACAAGCTTCTCTTACAATTTTGTCTCTTGTTTTCATAACTATTGGGAGAAAAAATTTAAATATTTTATATGAAATAAAAAAATGAAATTTGGCAGTGGTTTGGCGTTATTTTTTTACGTTTTTCTTTTAATAATTTTTAGGCAGGTTTAATTTTTTTTTTGTATCTAAAATTTAAGATTTTTGGGGGGCAAAGAAGACAGTTTGGCACCCCAGGTGGCACTCACAGCCTCGGTGTGGACGGGGTGCGTGGCGAAGATGAGAGCCGCTGAGAGGACGGTACCCTGGGGGAGGCGCAGCAGACGCAGTAGCAGCCGCGTCAGCAGCACGCAGACGCAGGAGTGCAGCAACAGGTTCACCGCATGGAACAACACTGGTCGCAACCCGAACAACAGGTGATTGATCCTGCAGGAGACACAGGAAGAAGGTTTGTTGTCAGGATTCATGGAGGTGAGTGTAGCGAGCTGAGATACTTGGTATATCTGTGGTGGTAGAGGAAGTATATTCAGTGGATGAAGGAGGGTAAAGGTATGAATGACTTCTATTGAAGGGAGAGAGAGAGACGACTATCATTTACATCTCACACTCAATGACAAGCATTTTTAAGCATACCATACCACGGGTGGGGTTAGAACCCACGATCAGAGAGTCTAATCGCAGGTTCTAACCCCACCCGTGGTACGGTTTGTTTCCAATCGTGTCATTACGATTTCGTGAGTCATGTTTAAGTATCTCTCACCACTCCATGAGAGTGAATATGGTCACAGTTCTTCCTCAACTGACCTCTTATTAAACCACTCCCCTTCCCCCACCTATATAGAACGCTGATTCGGTTGCACTGGAAATTACGGAGCCGTGACCTCCTGGTAACACTCCAGACACTGTATCATTCCTGAGTTATTTCCTTCAAAGTCGATGTCTTAGAACGGCTCCAAGAACAGAATCTTTGAGCCACGCAACTTCAAGTTAGTGTTCTTCATCTCATGGTATGAAATGGCCACTTTGACGATCTTCTTTACCTCATCCCCAAATCCAGTACCTGGGCCAAAAACTGCGCTATATCGTTTACTCATGCCAGAGAGGAATTGCCCACTGCCCTCGAGGGTTAATGCTTCAGTTTCAACAAGGAACTGAACACCGGCTTCCAGGCTGAGAGACTGATTGCCTCATCCTCCACTGTCTTCCTATATTTCTATACTGGACTGATGAAGATACGCAGGTGTTGCATATTTGCCTCATTCCTCATCTTGTCGGTATTGTATATCAATATTGTAAAAACTTCCTTCTGTGCCACTCTCAGGTATACTCTGGCAGGTTCACTTTCTTCCCATAAAACGCGAGCGATGATAATCCCTTCACAAAGTGATATTAACACTTATTTAAATAATAAGAAAGTTCTAACGGCTGGCGAGAAATTTATATCTTGAGGGAGAATTTTGACTATGGTAAAAAAACACAGATGCAACTAATGTGACATTTTACTGTGGCAACGTTTCGCTCTCCAGGAGCTTTCTGTATACCTTTGATCAAAGCGCCTTAAATATTTCACTATCAATATACGTCGATCAAGTGACGTCATTTAGTATGTCATCTCTCTCACCAGGCTATGACCATGCATGCTCTCTGTACCTGACCTTTCCCAGTCTATATTTACTCTGCCTTTTTCAGTCTCTACATTGGAAGTCCAAAGCCCCAGTGAGTGGAAAGTTTTCATAAAAAATTCCCTAATGCTGTACTTGTGTCTTGTATCTCTAGTATAAGTCACTGCAGCAAGATGAAACTAACACCTTTATCGTACAGAAAGGTCGTCGTAAGCTCCTCTGTCCTATCTGCGGATTATTTGTGTATTGTAGCGTCTTAGTATACCTTAGCTACAACAGACAGGTAAAGGTGGCTCTTTGTAGAACAATAACATTCCGCAGGGCACTGAGCTCGACCATTGTAACTGTAGGGAGGTATTCCCATATAACCTACATGTTAGAAATTAAACAAGATTACGTTTAGCTCCGTCCTGGACTGGCATCACGTGAGACCATGTGTAAAGAAGTATTCTCAGACATTCCTCCTAAAACACTAAGGAACAAAACCTGACTAAAGTCAATGACCTACTACTTCGACCTTGACACGAAGTTTTGCCTCATCACTCTAAGACTTCCTGGATCGTCTGACGGAACACTAACTGAAGTTTAATGGATATGTCATAATGACCCACAAGGAGTCTAGTACTCGCTGGCATCGACCACTCACGTCTAACGCACCCCCAGGAAGTCATTCCCTCCACGCACCCGAAGAAATCTACCTTTAATATGAAAGCACAAGGACGGGTGGAGGGGAGAGTAATCACAGGTTATCAATATTCGACAAAACACTACTGGTCTAAATTACAAGTGAGCGGAGAAGTTACAAGGGTTATTGGAGAAGATTTTTGTGAGCAACAGGTACGTATGACAGCTGGTGGAAGATGGCTCCTTCAAGGGCCTGCCCTGAAGGCCTCTTAGTTGAAATAATTTCAGACACTCTTCTCTACCTAGCATCAGAAATGGTTGCTTTCCATTTCCCAGGTGATTAATGACTTGAATATAATTGTAACATAGAGAGAGGAGGTATCAAATGACAGGTTCCCCCCTCAAGGTCCCATAACTCCTATAATTTCAACATTTGCTGCCTTTCTTTGTATATATGACCAAAACTAATATTTCCTTTTTTGCTTAAACAAGAGTGGATTTTTCTTGACTAATTTTTAAGTCTCTTTCATAAACAATAAACATAAATCGTGATGAAATGTAAAAAATGAACTAAAAAGTCTTATAACGTGAACACGAGAGAAAAAAAAATAACTGTAACGAAATAAATAACAGAAGAGAAACAGGTGACAACTTTCGTGTGGTTGCACTCACATCTTCAGTGGAAATCACGAATGCGCTCAGCTGTTTCACATATGTAACATTTTCTCATTGGTGCTATTTTCCATATATGCAGAATAAGCATATATCAGTTACTATCATTTTGAAGTGGAAAAGTACACAGAAAACGGAAAGTGGTCGGGGGCATATTTAGACGGGTATCATAAGAACGGATATTTCTCACGGTAGTGTGACTGGGGACGGATGCATCAAGGACAGACGCTTCTGTCAAGGAAAGGTTGATCACTTAGAAGCAGTTAAATTAATTTTGGTGGAGCTCTCAAAAGTTCATGAAGTCTTATAATTGCTTAAGACTGTCGGATGCTGTCCAGGAGACGAGCAAGTTGTGATTGAAGTGTCAGAACTAATAATTGGAGACGACACCTCTGTTTTGTTCCTGTTTATGTGTCTGCAGCTCGTTGTTCTGGTGATTTCGCAGTGTGTCGGGTGACACAGTGTGTCGTGTGATACAGTGTGTAGGGTGACAGTGTGTCGTGTGATACAGTGTGTCGTGTGATACAGTGTGTCGGGTGACACAGTGTGTCGTGTGATACAGTGTGTCGTGTGATACAGTGTGTCGTGTGATACAGTGTGTCGGGTGACACAGTGTGTCGTGTGATACATTGTGTCGTGTGATACAGTGTGTCGGGTGACACAGTGTGTCGTGTGATACATTGTGTCGTGTGAAACATCACTATTTTCTTCCTGTCATTCGTGTAATCCCTCTCCCTCCCTGTTGATAAGATAGATAGATAGATAGATAGATAGATAGATAGATAGATAGATAGATAGAAAGATAAATAGATAGATAGATAGATAGACAGAGGGAAAGAGAGAGAGAGAGAGATGTGACAGAGTCTTCCTCTTATGCTGGTTATGTTGTGTCACCACCAGCATCATGTGTGGTGTCACTCACCACCAGCATCATGTGTAGTGTCACTCACCACCAGCATCATGTGTAGTGTCACTCACCACCAGCATCATGTGTGGTGTCACTCACCACCAGCATCATGTGTGGTGTCACTCACCACCAGCATCATGTGTGGTGTCACTCACCACCAGCATCATGTGTGGTGTCACTCACCACAGCATCATGTGTGTGTCACTCACCACCAGCATCATGTGTGTGTCACTCACCACCAGCATCATGTGTGGTGTCACTCACCACCAGCATCATGTGTGGTGTCACTCACCACCAGCATCAATGTGTGGTGTCACTCACCACCAGCCATCATGTGTGGTGTCACTCAACCACCAGCATCATGTGTGGTGTCACTCACCACCAGCATCATGTGTGGTGTCACTCACCACCAGCATCATGTGTGGTGTCACTCACCACCAGCATCATGTGTGGTGTCACTCACCACCAGCATCATGTGTGGTAGTCACTCACCACCAGCATCATGTGTGGTGTCACTCACCACCAGCATCTTGTGTGGTGTCACTCACCACCAGCATCATGTGTAGTGTCACTCACCACCAGCATCATGTGTGGTGTCACTCACCACCAGCATCATGTGTGGTATCACCACCAGCATCATGTGTGGTATCACTCACCACCAGCATCATGTGTGGTATCACTCACCACCAGCATCATGTGTGGTGTCACTCACCACCAGCATCATGTGTGGTGTCACTCACCACCAGCATCATGTGTGGTATCACCACCAGCATCATGTGTGGTATCACTCACCACCAGCATCATGTGTGGTATCACTCACCACCAGCATCATGTGTGGTGTCACTCACCACCAGCATCATGTGTGGTGTCACTCACCACCAGCATCATGTGTGGTGTCACTCACACCAGCATCATGTGTGGTATCACTCACCACCAGCATCATGTGTGGTGTCACTCACCACCAGCATCATGTGTGGTGTCACTCACCACCAGCATCATGTGTAGTGTCACTCACCACCAGCATCATGTGTGGTGTCACTCACCACCAGCATCATGTGTGGTGTCACTCACCACCAGCATCATGTGTGGTATCACCACCAGCATCATGTGTGGTGCCACTCACCACCAGCATCATGTGTGGTGTCACTCACCACCAGCATCATGTGTGGTGTCACTCACCACCAGCATCATGTGTGGTATCACTCACCACCAGCATCATGTGTGGTATCACTCACCACCAGCATCATGTGTGGTGTCACTCACCACCAGCATCATGTGTGGTGTCACTCACCACCAGCATCATGTGTGGTGTCACTCACCACCAGCATCATGTGTGGTATCACCACCAGCATCATGTGTGGTGTCACTCACCACCAGCATCATGTGTGGTGTCACTCACCACCAGCATCATGTGTGGTGTCACTCACCACCAGCATCATGTGTAGTGTCACTTACCACCAGCATCATGTGTGGTGTCACTCACCACCAGCATCATGTGTGGTATCACCACCAGCATCATGTGTGGTGTCACTCACCACCAGCATCATGTGTGGTGTCACTCACCACCAGCATCATGTGTGGTGTCACCACCAGCATCATGT